CTTACTTTAGGCGAAAAATTTGCTTTTGTGTTCTATGAATAAAAAAAAAACATAAGCGAAGTTGATCTCTGAATTGAACAAGATATGATTGTGATACACAAATGCATTTACTATTTTACTCTGAAAGAGTGTCATCGTTGGGAGTAATTAATGCAATAAATAGGATAATTTATCATTGAATTTAGCGATCCTTTTGATGAATGCCTAGTTGTCTCACAGAAATGCACTATCATGCCAACGTGCACAGATGGTAAAACCACAGGTAATTTAATCAGAACTAAGGATAAACAAATATAAATAGAGACAGTATGCTTTCAAAAATATGTAGAGTTAAAAAAAAAGAAAAAAAATTATTTTAATCGAGGTTTCAAGGATAGTTGTAAAAATAAAGATTATGATTTTGAGGAGATTCAAAGAACATGCATCTATAGGAACGCTCTACATCACTAAAAATTTTGTAACATAGAAAGTTTCTAAATTTTATGCAAACTTTGCAGGTAGAACATTGTTTGAAACAGGAGAGATCAGTTTTAAGGACACGCTAGGATTGATAAATATTGAAAAAATTCATCAAAATGACTCAAACTTAGAAAATGACGAGGAACAAGAGGGAGCAATTTTGTGGCAATGGAAAAATGAGCAAGGCAGGTGGAAGAACTTTCCGAAGACAGAACATCAGAAAATCGAGAAAGCAATTGCTAAGAATTCAAAATCAACAATACTCTTGGCAATTGGTGGACATATGTAAGTATCACTGAAATACAACACACAGAGCATCAGTTTTGTAACTGTTCTTATATACTTCATTCGTCTTATTTTCACAGGTTTAGACTGGTTTTATCGAAGTTGAGGTTAATTAATATATCATCGAGAGAGACGTTCGAAGTGAGACGCTGTGAAAACAGTTCTGAAAACCAAGCAAAAAATTAATGCAGTTAAAAAGAAACAAAGACCTAAAAAGTTCCATTAGTGATACAAGTTTTAATATGTACAGTATTTAATTTAAAATATTTGGACATCAGAATGTGGTGTTAGTTGTAAATATATACTTGTAATCAATATTCAACACAAACATTTTCGGGGCATCAAATTTATTTTGTATACAAAGAAATTACAATAAATTAAATTTTTGGCGATGGGAATTTTCTTTTTATATGTGGAAGGAATACATGTAAAGAAATTAATGTATTTTTTCTTTTTGTTAAACATCCTTCTGGAGAAAATTTACTCATATGGAGACGTGAATACATTCCGGCTACCAATTTATACCTATTCCCGCACTCAAGGACTTTGAGGTGAGAGTTTTTTTGTGTAATAATACCGACTGCGATATGGGACCTCGGTTTATACATCTCACTAGAAAGACTGGCTTCCACGTCAGCTGTGGGATTCGATCCAACGACCTTGGGATCAATTCCTTACTCCGTGAATCTAGAGCAGAATCTCCAACCACTGTGCCACGAGCTCGAGAGTGAATAGATTATTTTATGTTGTGTTGAAGTATTATTGTGTTGTCTTGCAGTATATTTCTTATAAAAAGTTTAACTCGCTACTTAGCTAAATTCCATCTCAGACTGAGAAAGAAAAGAAGAGAACATTTTGAATTAAAAAAAAAATCACTTTAATGCCCAGATCAACGTTTACGATTTTGAAAATAAGATTAATATAAATATATAATCACATTATATGAAGTTCTTAAATCCAGGACGTTTGTAAATTTACCATCAATTTAAAAAAAAAGGGAAACATGTTTATGTTATTGAAATATATAGTATTAAGAGGATTTATTTTGTCTACCAATGAAGTACAGATTGATCCATTTTATGCCCATATATATGTAACATCATGACAAAAACTTTAAAATGGAGTTTACATGGACACATTGTTCAAGTCTCATTTTATAATAAGAAGAATTTGTCCTTCAATTCTAAGAATTTAACAATTAAAGACACTCAAAAAAGAAGCAATTGCACTTACAGAAATCCGTTGTTTTAATTGTTCTCTCTCGTCCTTCTCGTTTTTATTACTCATATAGAACTTTCATCTCCACTTGCTGGTGGAGTACTGCAAAATTAATGTATACATATTTTCGCCATGCAGGGTCACTGGGCAGTGTAAAAACTTTATCGTGCCAACACCTACTGCGACACAGGACCTCAGTTTATAAAGTTTCATTTAAATGACCGGTCTCTACATCCCGCAGTGGATTCAACCTCTCGACGTTAGAATCAGAAGTGATAACCACTGCATCAAGTAGGCGACATGTTGTTTTTGTGGATTCAGTATTAAACTTATAAACCGTTAAATGCGACTGTTTAAATTGAAGCAAAGAAAGACATGAATCTTTATATGCATTCTTGCAGTAAAGACAATGTAAAAAATATATTGACTTGATTACGTTGATTTCCTGACTGACGACACCTGACACGTTTCTATATAATCATATTGTCGTTTAAATTAAATTATTCAATTTAGGTAACAAAAAAATAACGAAAAAGCAATTATTGTAAGAAAAGCATTCTTTCACAAACAATGTATGGCGTACTCATAAGATGGCATATCTTCAATGTGTACTACTGACATACAAGTAATATTAAAAAAAATCCAAACAAATACTAGTAGAATATGTACATTAAGTTATAATGTATGATACAAGCAATGAAGTGTATGAACTTGAGGAGATGAGTTCAAGTTCATAAGTTAATTCCAACGTTACAAATCAGGAGCATAGCAAACACGGACTCTCAATCATCAGATGTGGGATTAGCTGTCACAGATGAGTGAGTATCTGCCGACAGATTACATCCGCCTTGTGGTCCTTGTAATGATCGTGAAATATCGGAAAAGGAAATCTTTTGTATTCTCTTTTGAAAAAAAATGAGTTTCATAATTGTTTAAAAATTAAATAAGTGAGACAATTCCATTTCCAGTGTCAGCATTCTTAAATGATTGATCGCATGTTGTTTTACGTCTCATGCGAGAATCTCACCATATACCGGTGGAGAGCATCAAATTTTGACCTTTACTAGGCACTCAAGGCTATTGAGCATGGATACCAATCTTTATCGTGCCAACGCCTGTCGTGACACGTGTCCTTGTTTATTTTTAAGGTCTCAATCAAAGTCCCCGCAACTTTTAATTTAGAGTGCTGATCGCATGGCGAAGGAACAGTTGCTACCCAATTTTTTGTTGACTAAGGTCCGCCACGACCGAAATTCGTACTCACGACCTCCCGATCACGAAGCGAGCGCAATGCCGATTGAGCTATTGTGAATTCGAAGGGTCCCTTATAAAGATAGAACCTACCATACTCAAATTATTTTAAGATAAATGGAAATGTGAAAGAACCCTATTACCTTACTAAATCCTGCACTAACTGCGCCTAAAAATTGAAAAGTAATTTTAATGAATGAAAATTAAAAGAAACTCAAACACCCCCCCCCCCAAAAAAAAAAATCACAGCAGATTTATAATTCTGAACATAAATATCCTTTGAATAGTTACAAATATAGCAGCAATCTAGGAAGATTTTATTTTTGCGTGTCTGCATACGATGAGAGAGGATTGATAAATATTTTTAAATTACAAGGAAGAATTTATATTTTTCATTTCTCCGTTGGAATTTGATTACTTTTAAGTGAGTATTCGTTTCTTGGGGGTATGTGCATATATTTGTCTCAGTTAAAGTCAATTATACATTTAATCACTTATTTCAGAAATATTAGAAAATGCAACATGGAATGGAAGAAATGCAATACTGGCACCAACGAGCCAGGGAAGAGTCATTTGAACGTATGCTATATAGACCAACACTGTTATGAAGCTTTTAAGGAAATAACATATGTGAAATAAAATATGTATTTTATAGAGTTATGGTCTGTATCAGATAACGTAAGATTTTTTCCCCCATAAGATAATCATTTTAAAAGTATCTATTAATCTTGTTTGAGAAATATTTGTCGATTGTTATCTATATTCTGATTATAAGTTTCAAATCTTACAAGAAGATCAAAAGTCTGAATGTAATTTTTTTTTCTCGTTTTGTATCCCTTTGCAGTACGCTAAAGATAACATGAATTATTGTCTTAATAGGAAAGTACAAAAGTGTAGTCTTAGTCTAAAGAACAAATAAATGCCATATACAGTAGAATGTGATTAACTTTCTAATTCAATATTCCCAAGAAAAAGAAACATCTCCTTACTCTAAATTTGATTTCAAGTTCTCCAAAGACATCACCTACAAGGAAAAGGAATGCATACCGTCTTTCTACTTGATACATCAGCGAGCATGGCCGGAGAGGGGTATAGGCAAATGAAAAGAAGTTTCCTGGACATTATAAATGGTTAATTCTATTTAAAATCATATTTCGGTATATTTTATTGCGTTACAATGTCAACAATCGGTGATTTTTTCCCCTTTTTTCTATAAACCAGAAATCGCTGATCACAGGGAGGAAGATGAAAACGTGGCAGTTCTGTGTTTTGGTCAAGAGGTCAAGTTTCTCCACTATCCATCAAACAACTATGAATCTGTTAGGAAGTGCGTCGGTAAATTTTTTTTTTTTTTTTTTTTTTTTGGTTAAATCAATTGTCTCATATATTCAGTAAGAATGATGATAACAACAGACTTACTTTTGTTTTTTCAGATAGAATTGAATGCAGGGGAAGTTCTCCTATGGAAGCTGGATTCCTTCTGGCCACATCATGTTTTCTCAATAGAGGTTGGATAAGAAAATAATATATATACATGTATCCCATCTAACGATCGATTGATCACCTTTTTCTACTAGTTTTCCGATCATTCTTGTATTACACTGCATTTTAATTATTTCGGAGAAATTGTTTTGGAATTAAAGTATAAAATTATAATTTTTCAGGATTAATGACTTAATCGCTATTATTATTAAAACTAAATTCTCACGAAGCAATGCATAAAGTTATAATACAAATATCGCCAATTTTCTTTAAATTTTACAAGTATACAACCAAACGGGAGACAAATAATTTTTTTTTCAATAATATTTCAAGCGCCATTATAAAATCACATATTTTCTTTGGGGCAAATTTTCTAGGTTTGAGAAAAAAAGAAATTATTTTGATTTCGCGGTTGGAGAGATGTGGAGTAGTAATGTTTATAAAATTTTACATTTTGTGGTGGTCATGAATTTGTAGGTCTCTTCATACCTCGAAAGCAACGAAAATCCCCCCTCCCAAAAAAAAAAAAACCTGCGATTTTACAGTTTATCTTTACATTGTGCTTATTCTAATATTCCATATTGTAGGAAACCTTACAACGGATATCATTCCAACATCAAGATTGATCGTGATAACGGATGGTCGACCGACAGACCCTATAGATATTGACAAACCCGAACCCCCGATTGTCTCTGAAAACCCGTTTAGTACTGTAAGTACTCTTAAAATCGACTTTTATTGTTATATCTACCAAAAAAAAAAACAGTGAGCGCATAGTATGGAACGCCATAACTGCCTGATGTGCAGAACTTTCATACTTTCAAAGTAGTAGCATATAATGACAAAATACCAGCATATAATGACAAAGTACCAGCATATAATGAAAGTTCTCCACATAAAGCAGTTACGGCGTTCCATAGCTTACATGTAGTTTCGATTCTTGCGTACTTCTGACATATTATTTAATTATATAACTTGCATTTCGGCAATGACATGTACTACCTCTTATGCTACAAAGAATAGCTCATTAGTAATTGATTTACTTTATTCATTTTAGGCCAGTTCATTGCTTCTTTTCTTTCCTTAAAGAGATACGAAATATTAACTCAAATAAGGCTTAAAACATCACCAAATTATCAAATATGCATGAAATGGATAAATGACCTTCCAATCTTTCTGAATGTAAAATTTTTGTTCATAATTCAATATATCAGTTTGGAAAAAAAAGTTGTTTTTTTTAAATTATCGAGTTTTCTGTCCTCATTTT